GAGGCAGTGAAACCAAAGCTGCATTCATCATCAGCACCTACTGCTACTAGGAAATAAAGCAGACATGCACAACATTGGTAAAGCCAGCAAGGATGACTTATAATGAGCAGGATGTTACAAACCTTAAATTAAATTATGCCTAGATCTAAAATTATATATGCTAAGAACTATAATTGCAGTGCCCAATATCTGCAATTTATATTATCGGTGATTGCAATTATGAAACTCCAAGTAGTACAGATAGAGTGATAAGTACAGTTACCCAAATATCAGTAAATGACATTCTAACAATGTTCCAATATATAACAGTTTTGTACAGATAACCTAATCATGTAGAACAAAGTTGGCACTTGACACTCCTATAGAGGATTATATTACCATTCAATAAGGGTTAAAGTCTGTGTCACAGCAAAGTAGAATATAACATAGCACAAGGACACTCCTACAGAAGCTGCACATAACCAAGCAAAGCCAGATCAGCTGAAGCATCAAGATGAGAAAATGGATGGACAGACAAAGACTAATATACCGAACACACCAAAATGTTGTTGTTTTAGCTTCAAGCAGAACAGACAAGAAAAATATCTGACATATTTATCTTCTGAAGTAAAAAATCTTATGAATGTTATCTTACAAAATACAGAATATCGAACACAATCGATAGTTGACAGGATGCTCATATTTATTTACAAACCAACAAGAAGAATAGTACCAACCAAGCCAAATAATTGAACTTGATGACATCATACACTGTTGGGAGTTGGCTGCTTGCCATGAATATAGATAAAGTATTATCCATTCTCCTCCATTAACCACACACACAAGTGAAGCTTTATTTCCTAGCTTCAAAATTTGAGGGATAAATATATAGATTGGATGTAGTAAGCACCTACAAATGGTGTAACAAATATAGGCAAATGAAAGAAGCATAGGGACTGACCAAGATCAATATTTGGATGGTTCAACACCAGCATATTGCATACGCTCAGAACTACAATTGCGGTGTCCGATACTTGCAATTTACATTATTGCTGATTACAATTTACTACTTATAGATCTGCAATCAAGAAATGGATACTAAACATAGCTTTCTTGTATAGTATATGCAACATACAGTTAAAAAGATGTGAGCTCCTACTATTCTACTACTACAGTATATGCAACATACAGTTAAAAGATGCAAGAATCATAATCTAGCACCCCTCTTGGTTTCCACAAGGACAAGTGTGAGAGTTTAGTACAACAGAAAAGATACAAGAAAATGAGTACACAAATATAAACTATGAGAACAAAAAACTGATAGTGAATTATTACCTTTACTGTATCTCTTTGTGCATGAAGAAGATCCATCAGGTAGCTTCTTTTATCTACTTCCTGCACAAACTCAGCTCTCTCGGAAATCAAATCAGTACTTAAGCCAACTCTTCCAACGGCCAGGACAATGTAGTTATCCAGGAAATCTGATGCCATTTTCTGTATTCATTAGAGTAATATCGATATCATTAAGCATGCAAATTGGAACTAGAACAAGAAGTTTTGGCAACATTTCACAAAAATAACCAGGATTCACAAACTGGGACATAGAAAGTCGATTTCTGTTACCTAGTATAGAAAAAGGTACAGTCTTACATGATCACCCTCACATAGTATAAAGACAAATGGTCACTATGGTGACTTAAGACTTAATATTTAAGAGTTAGTCTGCAAAACAAAGAGATGGGGAACATCTATTTGAAATCACAGGATCATTTATGCTATTATTAGCTATATTTTAGAACAAGGAAGGTCCTAGGTGTGTGCTGGCACAATCACAATTAACTGAATACAATTTTTACTATAGAAAAACAAAGACAAATATTTCTTTGTTATATTTCTTTGTCTTCTTTTTTTTTCTTAATAAGACAGTCTAGTGACCGTGTAGTGAAGATGTCTAGTGTAATTTTATTTTTGGTTAACTCACTCTCATCCTCCTTGAAGAGCCTAACGCAGATCCAAGACCATGAGGTTATTCAACTAAGTTTTGTAACATGGCATTTTTTTCTTTTTGTGACAAACAATCACAAGAGGATTAACAGTATCATCCAAACCCAAATGCCTTTTCTAGAGTAATTGCACCACTTTACAAAAGGGACTGAAATTTGTAAAAGAGACTCCAAAACTTATATAGACATGAGACCCCATATAGGCATTGGTATAAGACTTTCTGAATATCAAGTTAATAGCTTTGAAACCCTCAGGATAATGAGTTTAATGACAATAAAAAAAAGGGCAGACCTAGTGCCGAAGGCTCCCACATGAGTAGGGTCTGGGAAATGGAAAAACCGAGGCAAGCCTTCCCATAAAAATCTACGAGAGAGGTGCTTAACCCACGACCTGGTGACTCGGTGAGACAGCTCTCACCCACCGCACAGCCTGCCCTCTAATGAGTTTAATGACAATAATCTATCATAATCTAGAATAAGCATTATAATGATGCACATACATTGCCATCAATTACCAAAACAAGCATGTTCACAAGAAAAAAAACAAGACATGACATAATTACCATTTATTCCATCCTTATTTGGTGTAATAACTCTTTTAAGCAAACAAGTTCCCATTTCTTGAAGTGCTTCAGAGAACTCTGCATATAACGCCATCTATACGTTAATATTTCACAAATACAAATGAAGTGAGGTTACACAAACACAATATCAGCTAGGTGAAATTAAGGTGTTTAAGATTTGCATTTCCTGCTTGATTAAGTAAATCATTAGGAGAAATATGTTCTAAATACGTTCAGCGTGATCTTTAGAGAGATGGGCGATTGCTATTTTATATTAAAAAACAACGTGCAAACCTAAGTAATAAACATAAAAGAAAACATAGCCAATAACTAATATTTCCATGAAATGCCATTGGACATATATAAGGGGAAAAATGGACTTAATTAAGGGTCTGGGAAGATGGGGGCTTTAGACAGGAAAATTACCATATGCACTATTTGCAATTGTCTCTTGACAGCAGAAAGCAAGTTATCGTAATAATGACTCCTCATATCATGTCATATCCCTGTCAAAGAAAGCAACAATTCAGAACAAAACTAGCAGGAAGCGGACCAGAACTTGAACCAAGAGAAGTTTTAACATCATCCATTATGGTATTCGATGAACCTATACAATTTGGTAAACAATGGGGCTAGGTTATCACTTTGCTTTTTGTTTTTAAGACACCCACACAAAATAGTTCAATTTTGAACAATTGAAGACTTCTGGACAAACTAATTGGGAATGGGGCACCCATTTGTCAGATCCAACTAGATTAGACAAGGTCCCAATTGGGCAAAATGCCACTTTCATTTTCTTGTAAGGAATTTGAAGTATCACGAAGTTCTCGTCTGCCCCCACTACACTAGTGCGAAAAGACACGCCAAATGCATAAATGCATCTCCCACCAAAGCGACACCACACACAAGCATCGATGCATGATAATCACTCGATTACCACCTCATTGAACAGGAGAAAATGCTTCCCAATGAAAACCAAAGCAAACATGACTCTGCCAAGTAACCACAGAAGTTGAGCTGAAATCACGCCACTAGCAGATCAAAGGAAATTCTCTCTCAAGACTATGCTAAACCAAATGTGAGCGGACGATTCCCACCGCACCAGGAAACAACCCCAAAGCAAAGCTCATTCCTCCCAGTGAAATCCCAACGACATCCAACCGTGTGTTGTGAAATTGAGCACAGATCCGGACACTAGAATTTCTTATGCAATCCCCATGGCGACGATGCTCCACACTCTCACACACCAACAACCGAACTACAAACCGGCCATCAAAACCAATCGCGCGCAATCCATCAACCTGTGATGGCTGCTGTGGAAACCGAAGCGGAACCAGAGCTCCCCGCGAGATCTCCACACCCGCAATGATCGACCCACCCACCCGGCTCGCTCGCCGCCGCCCACGGTTTAAAGGGAGAGGCAAGGTCCACACACTGGGCAGCCGCGAGGAGCTCATCCGCCGCCGAGGCGGCGGGCGGCGGTTGAGTGGCCCCGCAGCGGTCCGGTCCCGGTCCACCCGCTGCTCGTGGCGCTGCAGGGCTAAGCCCGCAGCTTCCGCAGCGACGACTCCATGTCCTCGCCCCGCGAACCCGAGTCAGGGCGGGCGCCGGATCGAGCCCCAGATCGCCCACGGCCGGGCGGCGATGTGCTCGAGGAAACCCTAGCGGCGCTAGTAGCCCCGCACGCACACTCCCACTGACGAGCGGGAGAGAGGGAGCGAGTGGGGAAATGGAGAGTTCTTTTTTCCTCCTTTTCGGAGCTCTGGGACAGAGGGAGAGAGGGAGCCACGCGACCCATGGGATACCCGGCGCGACTTCCAAAATACAAACAGTAGCAGTGGCTCCCAGCCCTCCATCGCCAGATGAACGCAGCAAAAAATCGTGTGCTGCCAACAAAAGAAACACACGGGCAACAGATAGCAATCCCGTTTTTGTTTGGCCCTCTGATATTCCTCCGTGTCTCTTCTCTTCAGCTACCTACCAACCAAACTGAACAGAAAGATCAAAGCAAACGCACGAGAGGTTGAAGCGCTGCTGAGAGGCATCATCACCAAGCGGGAGATCGCCATGAAGAATGGCCATGCTGATGACAGCGATCTGCTAGGCATGCTAATGCAGTCCAACATTGAAGAGGGCCATGGAAGCGGAAGCTCCAAATCAGTGATGACCATGGAAGACATCATCGGCGAGCTGAAGCTGTTCTACTTCGCCGGAATGGAAACAACTTCAGTGCTGCTCACATGGACACTGGTCGTGCTGAGCATGCACCCCGAGTGGCAAGACCGCGCCAGGGAGGAGGTTCTGCAGGTTTTCGGGAAGAAGAATCAACCGGATATCAATGGCACAAATAATTTAAAAGTGGTAATTTTCGTAAACGCAACTAGTGATATACAATTGTCCATATATTTAGTTTCAAGAGAATTATTAGTGCTTAATCTTGGTTCTTGTGCGGCAGATGACCATGGTTTTATACGAGGTTCTTAGGCTGTACCCACCGGTAACAGTTCTTGACCGGCAAACGTACAAGGAGATGGAGCTGGGAGGGGTCAAGTACCCACCTGGAGTGACACTCTTGTTACCAATTGTGACCATTCATCATGACTCGGATCTTTGGGGAGAAGACGTGGACGAGTTCAGGCCAGAGAGGTTTGCTAACGGCATCTCAAAGGCGTCCAAAGACGCGCCAGCGTTCTTCCCCTTTGGCTGGGGGCCGAGGATCTGCATAGGCCAGAACTTCGCGCTGCTGGAGGCCAAGGTAGCACTGGCCATGATACTGCAACGCTTCTCGTTTGGGCTCTCACCGTCCTACACGCACGCACCATTCGCCGTCTCCACCCTGCAGCCGGACCACGGGGCACAGATCGTGATGAAGAAAATTTAATCATCTTAGTCTACTTAACATACATATGGTCATCATGTCGTGTATGGATTTATATATATCGCTTCTCCGTAGATAAATAAATGGTGTAACAGAAAATTAAATTATGCAAGTTGTGCGCATGCACAGCTTAGCAGATGTGTATTATCGTGCTGTACAATAACACGGAATTGTGATGGCATATAGCATTTGATTTGGCTGAGGTGATATACAAATTGATCCTTGAACAATGTATCACTTGGGGCTAGTTTGTAAGAGTATCTCCAACAGATTACTTATCTCATCCCTAATACTAAAATCATGCAACATAAATGGTGCTCCAACTCCAACAGAATATTACACACTTGTTGGCATAAAAAAACATCGACTAAGCTGTTGAGTCTTCATATATATGCTACACGAAAGCAACCACTAATAGTGCTGCTAATGCCCCTTTTCCTCGCCAACATGCACCCATGCATGTCTGAAATGGTAGTTATATCTTCTGTTCTACTACCTAGCTAGCTGGAAAATTTCGAACTCATGTCTCTAGAAATTTCAAATCTGGTGAAACAATTATAAAGATTTTAAAATTATTTCTAGAGACGGCTGAAAAATACAACCACATCTGAAAATTTTCAGAGATGACTGGAAATCGATCTCTAAATGTGGCTGAAGTTTCTAGCCGCACCTAGAAATAGATTGGACACCTGCCCCTAGAAATCAATTCTTTCTTTCTTTTTTTTTAAAAGACACTCAAGAGAACGTCTCATATCTGAAAGAGCATGTTTCTATAGCCACCGCAAAAAAAAAATGTTGACTGCATTTAGAAAACACTTCCATGGTAGCGATACCGAGTGGCTGAGATTCATGTTGTTACTTGATTGAGAGAGGTGCTGGTGAAATAGAGCTGAGAAAGACTAAAATAGATTCTTTCTTAGTTTTTTTCACTGAGATTAGAAGTAAAATAATGAAAAATTGGATTACATATAACTGCATGCTGTGGGCAGTGACATTATTGGTAGTTGAATTATGATCAGGCGTCAAAGGCGTAAGCATTGTGGCAGGCTGAGATTATTCTAGTGGTGCATCACAGCATGACTCATGAGTTTTTTTATGAAACGGGAGGGGTTTTACCCCCTACTAGACTTTTATTAAACTTGAAAATAACAAAATTACTTGTCGGACTTCACATCACACGAAACAAAAAAAGGTTAAAAAGAAAATAAGAAAGATTACACAAATGCTTCTGGCCATAATTCTAATCTTGGGCGAAAAGCAGGCTTTGCTCGTAGCTTAACTAGAGCAAACTCTTTCTTGAACACTTGCTTGCAGCGTTGAATGGAGTGAGGGACACCTTTAAAAATAATGTCATTGCGCATCATCCAGATGGACCAACACATGGTGACATAACGTTGGCATGAACAATCTGTTCAGTGGTGCAGTTGCGCTGTGCTTATCATCACCACAATGTACATAAGTACTCAATCCATCTCAAATTGTAAGACGTTTGACTTTTTTGACACCAAGTTTGACCACTCGTCTTATTCAAAAATTTGTGTAAAATATCACTTCTTTCGTCGTGGTTTGGTTTATTAATAAAAATTCTTTAAGAATGACTTAAATTTGACTATATTTGCACAAATTTTTTGAATAAGATGAGTGGTCAAACTTGGGGCCAAAAAAGTCAAACGTCTTACAATTTGGGATGGAGGGACTACTATACAAATGATGAGGATGATTTATGGTCTTACATTATGGGGTTGAACACATGAAAACACGTATCATTAAAAAATACGCTCACAGCCTAGACCCAGATGGGGTAGCCTGCAGCACATAGCACATTTCCTTTTACTCTTATTCTCGCATATTGTTTAAAGTGGTCGTTAGCACGACTTTGGCAAGGTGTCTACCTACCTGTTCTCTTACTTAGGCTTAAATAAGTTTTTGATTACTTTAAATAACCAAACCGTCGTGAGCTGCCAAATAATTAGGGGCGAAGTGGCCGCCTAGATTGCTAACCAGGGACATGGTGGTGGATCTAGGATTTTACCTAAAGATATACCGCACAAACATTTTCATATACAATTCGGTAAAATCATTTACCAATTCGGTAAAAGATAACAAAATTTGCAGCATATAATTCGGTATACCTGCTCTAAATAATAGTATACATGCACTAAATAATATAATAAGTCTTAAATTTAAAGACTAAGTTGGAAGCTTCTACATATTACAATATAAATAGTTTAACACCAGGCTGATAATTTAAAATGAGGCATGAAAGAGAATAAAAACATACAATGCTATTTGTCAAACTTTTTAAGCCGGCGCTTTTTAAGAGATATCAAATATGATTGTCTCGATTATAAAAAAATAGAAGCAATGTCTTCGCTTCTCTTCGTAAGGGGACAATTCTAAAAAAAAAGTGACGTAAATCACATGAGATCGAGATGATAGAATCATATAGTTCTTAGAATCACATGATGTAGTCTGCTACGATTATAAAACATACATGATATGAATATCTGATACTGATGTTTGGTGATATCCACAAATAATAATAAGTAATCTCGCTGGTCTCTATGATATACACACACTAATGATAGGTAATTAATTAGGCAAAATTCTTAGAAAAGTAATAAGATCAAATCAAGAAAACGCAATGGCGGAGTACTAGCTGTGGAATTATCTTAGCTTCTTGGTCTAGTTGTCAATTAAGTAGTACTGTCTTCTACCTAAATCCGGATTCAAACCTAATTAACACCAATTAGCCTCTGTATTGTAAAGCTTGGTGTGACTTTGATTGGACTCCGCCTTTGCTGTCGGCATGGCCAAATCTGAGGAGGCTCTCGGTGGATGCTGGGCTGCTGGCTTTGTTACCATGCTGACGACCGGACGACGAGGACAGTAGGCACGGGTGCGGCGATTGGTGGCTTGGATGGGATGGCAACTCGCAAGTCCTGAGGCAGGACAGGCGAAGAGGCGCGTCTGCGGCGGTGCAGCGCTTGGGATCATGAGTTCGTGACTCATGAGGCACGGATGGAAGCCGGTGAGACGTGAAGATATTTTCACTAATAGATCGATGTATCATGATAGGCTAGACTGTAGGGTATGCCGGTGCATACTTGATATACCCTGTAGATCTCTCCCTGCAGGGACATGTTCAATGTATGATGCCACGTTACTACAGTCCGATCCTGAGGTACATATAATGATTTTTGTATTGGACCATAAGAACTCACAAGATTTAAAAAAATCGGCCGATCATCCGACCCATAAGGACCATAATGGCGGCAGCCGGCTGCAAGCTGAATGATTCCATGATTGAATAGTACTGTGATGACCATTGATCAACCTGTTAAAGAAAAGCATATCCTACTGTCACGGTCATCTTCCCACCAGCTGCCATTTGGAGTTGGAGGAGACCGACACTAGTGTGCCAACTCTGTGTACTTATCCCTTCGTCCCATAATAAGTGTATTTTTAGAGTTCAAAATTTGTCCTAAAATAAGTGCACCTTTAGGTACGAGACAACCTAACTTTAGTTGTCTTTTCTACTTAGCCCTTGTTTAGTTCCACCCCAACTTTCAAAAAGTTGCTACAGTACCTGTCACATCGAATGTTTGCGGCCCGTGCATGAAGCATTAAATGTAGACGAAAAGAAAAACTAATTGCACAGTTTGGTGGGAAATTGCGAGACGAACGTTTTGAGCCTAATTAGTCCATGTTTGAACACTATTTGCCAAATAAAAACGAACGTGCTACAGTAGCCCCAAAATCCAAATTCCTACAACTAAACACAGCTTTAACTTTAAAGTGGTCGTTAGCACGACTTTGTCAAGGTGTCTACCTACCTGTTCTCTTGCTTAGGCTTAAATAAGTTTTTGATTACTTTAAATAACCAAACCGGCGTGAGCTGCCAAATAATTAGGGGCAAAGTGGCCGCCTGGATTTCTAACCAGGGACGCGGTGGCGGATCTAGGATTTTACCTAAAGATATACCGCACAAACATTTTCATATACAATTCGGTAAAATCATTTACCAATTCGGTAAAAGATAACAAAATTTGCAGCATATAATTCGGTATACCTACTCTAAATAATAGTATACATGCACTAAATAATATAATAAGTCTTAAATTTAAAGACTAAGTTGGAAGCTTCTACATGTTACAATATAAATAGTTTAATGCCATGCTGATATTTTAAAATGAGGCATGAAAGAGAATAAAAACATACAATGCTATTTGTCAAACTTTTTAAGCCGACGCTTTTTAAGAGATATGAAATATGATTGTCTCGATTATAAACAAAAATAGAAGCACTGTCTTCGCTTCTCTTCATAAGGGGACAATTCTAAAAAAAAAGCGACGTAAATCACATGAGATCGAGATGATAGGATCATATAGTTCATAGAATCACATGATGTAGTCTGCTACGATTATAAAACATACATGATATGAATATTTGATACTGATGTTTGGTGATATCCACAAATAATAATAAGTAATCTCGCTGGTCTCCATGATATACACACACTAATGATAGGTAATTAATTAGGCAAAATTCTTAGAAAAGTAATAAGATCAAATCAAGAAAACGCAATGGCGGAGTACTAGCTGTGGAATTATCTTAGCTTCTTGGTCTAGTTGTCAATTAAGTAGTACTGTCTTCTACCTAAATCCGGATTCAAACCTAATTAACACCAATTAGCTTTTGTATTGTAAAGCTTGTGTGACTTTGATCGGACTCCGCCTTCGCTGTCGGCATGGCCAAATCTGAGGAGGCTCTCGGTGGATGCTGGGCTGCTGGCTTTGTTACCATGCTGACGACGGGATGCCACGTTACTACAGTCCGATCCTGAGGTACATATAATGATTTTTGTATTGGACCATAAGAACTCACAAGATTTAAAAAAATCGGCCGATCATCCGACCCATAAGGACCATAATGGCGGCAGCCGGCTGCAAGCTGAAGGATTCCAGGATTGAGTAGTACTGTGATGACCATTGATCAACCTG